TATATTCAGTATATATATATAAGTATAAAACATATTACATGTGTACATTCAAAGTAAATGGACGCATGTAATTTACTTTACCGCCCACCGTAGTCTCACCAAATTCTATGGAAAACACTGAGTAACAAGCACATTTTGACTGTCTAATTTATGCAATGGTAAAAAAAAAGGCAAAATAAATGGATTTTTATTTTGAAAAACCTTGTTCGGTGTTCGGGTTTCAGAGTCATGAGCCATGACAAACAAAGAATAAGGTCAGCCAAGAATAATAACCATAGACAGGAAACAAGTTGAACACTGAATAACCAGCTATTATCAAAACACCACTTTTTGTTTCATATAGAAAGAGAAGTTTAATGGAATTTTTAAACATTTATTAATACCACAATTTAAATTCAGTCATGTAAAAGTAAATGCCCTGAATTCAGAACGTTTGTATATATCATCAGTATATAAGTATGTTAGAAAATGCACTTAAAGTAGCAAACATTAAAGTATACAGAATGGCTCCTTTCAGAGTGTTATATTATTGTGAAATAAATCATTAGGTCAGAATTACCATAGCATTAGCATTAAGATGCATTAACAAGGAAGTGATGCTAATTCTAACCGTTTAACTTTAATATTCTGTTGGGAAGTTTAATCTGTGACAACGGATTGTATTTATTGGATGATTATTTCTGATGAATGTCATGGCATAGAGAGTGCATGTCCCTCCGCAATGAAGTGAAGCAGACGTATGAAGAAACAATCTCAAGCACCTTAAAGGAAATAGTTTGTGGTTGTTGTGCTTTACTTTTTCCACCTTGGCTCCACAAAGAAATGACACTTTGTTCAGCGGAATGCAGTTAATACTGAGTTGAGCTTAAACTCGCACTGCAGTACGATGCATGTACTCATTATGTTCCACCACCTCTGGTTACCTGGTGGCCAGATGATCAGGTTGCATGCCACTCTCAGAGTTGTTCAGTTGTAGTATTAATATCAAGTGGTGCTTGTGTAACATCAGCAGAGGTTCACTCCCACAGTAACTGTGCATTCACCGGACGCTGTGGATAAATGGATGTAACAAATGAGGTAGAAAATTGAAAAAGATCTGGAATATCCAATGACTGATTCTCTGAAGGGATGATATTGCCTTTCTTCACACACACACACACACACACACACACACTCACTGATTGGCTGAGAGTGGACTCATTCCTCTTCATTGTCCCTCTTCTGCGCTAATCAGATGGAGACTGTTGAGAATGAACGCATACACACTGTTAACCAGCCCCCTACGGGTGCTGCGCCCACCACGGTGTGTGACTGAGCGTTTGTGTATGTCTGAATTTTCTATGTCTGTACAGTCTATATGTTTGCCGGCTGAGAGGCTCTGTCCACATAAACTAAGTGTTCTGCCCTCTGATTCTGCATATTAAACACATTATGGGCGGCCCGGCTGCACAGAATGAAGACACTGAGACAGACGAGAGTCAAGAGTATCACTCCCTCTGGGATCAAACTCACTGAATATGCAGTTTGACCCTGTGCATAATTAAAAGAGCTCTCCAGCAATGTAATGTCACACTTATATGAAGTTGGAAGTTGAGGTAGCTGTGGCTCAGGTGGTAGAGCATGTTGTTTTTGGTTGGGTTCCCCAGTTCCCCTAGTTCAGTCTGAGTGTCCGTGGGCCAGATTCTGAACCCCAAATGGATCCAGATGGCTGCGTCAGTGTGTGTGTGTTTGGATGAGCTTAGGATCAGCGTGACCCGCCACCAGCAAGCACTTGGAAGGAAAGAGAGAGAGATAGAGGGGGGTAACAAAAAGTTGTTTCGTGCACCGACTGCATCAACCAGCTTCATGATGTCCTAGATTTCAGCTTTACATATAGGTTTATAATCACTTGTTCTGTAAGACTGGTCTGATTCCTTGAATAGATGTTTGGAATATTAGCGTGACAGGCTTGCAATTCACTTTTCTTGTTCTTGTCGGCCTCGGGCTAAAGAAATACATTTAATAGACCAGTAACTTTGAAACAATAATCTAATGCAAATGGCGCTTGGCAGAATTGTTTTTCATGGATAAGAAAAAAAAACAAATGTAATGGTGTCTTTGTGTTCTGTCTGTTCTCTCTCACTGCTGATCTCACCACCTGAGTCACTTCAAAAACCAAATAGGAGAAAAATGTTGTAGTTTTTCATATTGAATTTCTTCTTTCAGCTCTTATTTTATGCCCCAGCACGCTGTTATAATACAGTACAAGGTCTCCTTTTCTACGGATTTATTCCATCTTTTGTCCGTGCACTGCAGCTCTGACCCTTGCAATCCTCTTATAGCTCTTCTTCTTGGACACTTATACTGTGGGTGATGCAGGAATTGCAGCTTATTACAGCTTATACTGTTGGAGCCATTGTGAGTCACTCTGGATAAGTTAGCTCCACTACTCAACTGGGAGACTTCACCAAAACATTTATTTAGTAAAATGACTGCACTGAGTTTAGAAAGTGCAGTGGCAATAAAGACAAGAAGGAGAGTAAAACGGTAAAGGTCGGGACATGAACTTAAGATGCTAGAATGAAATTAAAAAATGTATCACCGTAGGATGTGCAACTAGAAACACACTGCACAAATGATCTTCTTCATCTGTGTTATTTTGATTGTACAACGACACATATGGTTCAATGGCATCGAGTCTGCTACAAAACACACACACACACACACACACACACACACACACTGAGCTGGAATAAAGCACAGTGCCATCAGCTGTGCATGAGCCAGCAGAAGGTCTGTCCTGTCCTTTACATCTAATCAGGAAAAAAACACACACACAATTATCTATCTGCGACTCCAGGCCTTAATGCCACGTTCCGCTCAATTTTCCCAGATCTGATTTTTTTGTTTGACAGTTCACATTATTGCTTAAATGTGGCCCATATCAGACTTCAGTGTGAACTGTCCGTGGCCTGAAAGTGACCCGCATGCGCAGAGGAATAACACGAGGTCACACGCAGCAGCACAGTGTTGTACAGAAGTAAACAGAGCAACAGAGGTTAGCTCCGGTTAGCTCCTACTTGCTAACCCTCCTAATTTTCACGGGAAATTCTCACGGGTCACATTTCTCCCAACGACTCTCACGACTGCACAACGCAACTGCCCCACAACTCACTGCCTCCGTCCCTCCCCACTGTGTCCGCACAGACAAGTAGCATGCACATAGCTCAGAAGAGAGCTCACGCCCTGGTGGATTTCAGGTGTCAGAAAGGGAATCTGTGGGCAGATGATAGCAAGGTAGAGAAGAAAGAGAGCCACATGTTTATAATGGCTTTTTGAGGAGCTTTTTCGTTCACCGCGGCTCCGACCCGAGTGTCTAGACTGAGGTCGCATTTAAAAAGATCCCGTCTTTATTGAATTTGGACCACATCTGAAAGTGGCCCAAATCCGAACTGGAAACAATCAGATTCCATTTGACTTGGCCTGTTCACACCATCATAAAAAGATCAGATCTGAGTCACATATGGGCAGAGAAATCGGATTTGAGTCACACTGGCCTGCAGTCTGAACGTAGCCTTTGTGTGTCACATTGGCTTGCTTAAAAGAAACATCAAAGTGTGCTGACTCACACCAATAAACACCACAAACACATGCTCATGGAGTAAAACACCCACAGAGAAACATGCACACATACTGTACACAGAAACAGACACAGCACACATACAGTGTGTCAAAGGTCAGATGGTGAGTCTGGTCACAAATGTTAATGTCAACAAACTGGGCTAGATCACCAGTGCAGTACAGTGGATGAATGAATTCCCACCTCCAGCCGTAACCAGTATTACAGGTTCCCCTTGAGCATGGTTCTTGAAAAGCCAGAAGACAACGTGTCTCCTTACATCTACAAACTCCTGCTTTTTAAGGTCGTGGTCTGTAGTAACCACGACAGGGTTTGTAGCTCAGGTTAAAGTTGGGCGGAGCAATGCTGGGAATTCTGAACTGAAATTGTTGACAAAGCTGTAAATTGGCTAAAAGGCGCAAAAAAGCAAAGAGAGAAGAGTGAGAGAGCGGCTGTAGCTCAGGCAGTGATTAGCCATTAACCGTAGGGTCGGTGGTAAAGCACACGACACACACAAGTGTCCTTGAGAAAGACACTGAACCCCAAATCACTCTGGTTGTGTTTTTGATTATGGAAATAATGTAAGTTGATTTGGAGAAAAGAGTTTTCCAAATGGCTGTAATGTAAATGTCAATCAAGCATCGTCTGCACTTCCCCCGACTTCTAAAGGAGAGATCTAATCAGGCAGAGCAAGACTTGTTTCAAATTCATGACAACATTTATTTTGCAGACAGAATTAAAGCTCTTTCCTCCTTCCAGTGGGAGAGCTGCACCAACCTCGATAACACAGCGCTCACATATCAAACTAAAGCAGGAAAAACTATTGTGATAAATAAATGGTATGAACATTTCGTTACAATGACACGTTTATCCACAAATGCAACATTCCCCATTATTAACATGATCTGATCACATCACACAGACGACAAGATGCTATGAGGCCACGGGACAAGTGCATTAAAAAGAAAAGTGCCTGCCTAGTAAATCCCCAAATTAGTTCAACACCCACTGCTCTTTTTCAATATTCTTTATATGTTGAACATCAACAACCTTTTAACAAACTTCCATCAAACATTCTGCCGTTTTTACCAAGAAATATCAACCACCAGGTCCTAAATTACTAATGAGCAGTCACTTCACCGGCCATTTCCACTATTCTACCAACCATAATAAACTTATCCATCGCCAATTTCTCCTAGGTAATTCCTTTTTCAGCTGAATGACATTGCTGGTTAGTTACCTGCCAGACTTCCAAGTAAGGAAGACTAACCTGCCTGGCCTCAATCTGACATTAAACATTTGCTTTTTTCCTCTGCTGGTCACCGTTTGTAATTATTCCACACACATAATCAAATCACTTAAGAGGATTAGTGCATTAAACATTCCATTATAGACGACATACCCGGGGAAGAAGGGAGTCCTCTGGTAGAGTCAGTCCTTTTTAGGGTGAATCTAAATTCCAGTCACATCACTGGCCTCGGGGTTACAACAGGATGACAAGCTAACAAGGGCACCATCCCACCTGCAGAAGAGGAGAGAAAAGGGAGGAGGAGGAGGAGTGCAGGGATGGAAAGGAGAAAGACAGAAATGTCAACATGTTGCATCATTAATTCATTAGTATTCCTAAAGCTTCTTTCCTTCTGTCGTCTGCCCCTCCTATCACCCCCCCCTCTCTCTGTCACTTTACATCTGTAAAGTCTATGCAAACAGACTTGCATACTGTCCTAGATGTGCTTATTAGAGTGGATTTATGTTCTTCACATTTTAGTTGTGTGACTTTAATCTTATTTTATTCATGGTGATGGCGCAGTGAATAAGAGACCCGGGTTCGAATCCACTGTGAGACACCAATGTGTCCCTGAGCAAGACCCCTAGTCGCTCCAGAGGAGTGCGACCCCTGACATACATAGCAATTGTCAGTCGCTTTGGATAAAAGTGTCAGCTAAATGAATAAATGTATTTATTGTTGTTGTTTATACAGAACGGTAAAGAAGTTTGTGAGTAGTGGCAATGACTCAAAACATGGGACACTAGTAATTTGTAGTACAGTTCCACATTGTTTAGCATATCAGAATATCACTGTGTTGGCAAAGAAGCACACAAGTCTTATGATTTCCCTTCAATAAAATTACTTTCTGCACATTTCTGCTGCTTTCTTAGTCTATATAGGTGCTATCTCTTGCTATAATGTTTACACCTATGCCTCCACACCTAGTAATAATAATAAAAAATAATAGTAATACACTTTTATTTTAGTAAAATTATGACAGATGTGTTACTTCACAATAAAACTAGTAGTGTCCACTGATTACTTGCAATCTTTCTGCACTGTGAAGAGTGACGTGAGCTTTCTCTATCCTCACATGCCGTGTTTGTTCAGGAAGTTGAAGAAAATGGTGAAATGAATTGATTCAAGCCACTTAAGCTACAACCATGCACTTTAGGAAATGACAACTGACATCCAAACAGCTCTAACCTGCTAGCTTCTACGAACCCCGAGTTAACCAGGCCACGTGCATTTTCTTTTTAATGATGTGAGGAGTTAGCTCGTCACCCAAATTCATGTTTAATTGGATAAATCAGGGAACACATGCTGAATACAGGACGACACATTCGTTCATTTGACTTTCCGCGGGGAAACAGATGAATATATACACTCAAAAATGCTTTTGTTGGTAATTTTGCCAACATTCTGGTGTCAGCCCTTCAGTTTTGTGTGGAGCTGCTGACATTTATTTCAACACTCAACAATCACACAGGTAAAAAATCCAGCTGAAGCTGAAGAAGAAGTGCAGTCTTCTGTAGCCTCAACAGATGAAAAAGATTTGTTTTGAGTTAAGTGGCATGACTCTAGCTTGTCTCAGCTAGAAAAAATCCTCTTACTTTCTTAGGTTCCCCATCACCCTGTCCACCTACACGCTGCAACCGGCAGCAGATTGTTCACGTTTGCACTCTCGGGTTTCTCCTTAGGCATTTTATGGGAAATGCAAGATACCATGAATTTGACGAGTAAGGAAAGTGTGTACACCAAAAAACATATTAGAACATTTCTTCATAGAATAACTCCTGGAACATCATATCAATGATGTATAACACTGTGCCAACAAGGTGCCTGAAGGTGGAGTTTTTCTCTTAGTTTGATGTCAGAGTGGCGTGGGTGTAGCGTAGGTGACTGTTCGCCTTTGGAGGAATTGTTACATCACATTGTATGGATTGGCAAATACATACATTTTATTTCTCCAACAATTTTGTTCCACGCGAAATCCCATTTTCTAAATGTTTTAACTTGAATTGTCTCCAGGCCTGCAGGGATGTACTTCTGTTTACTTTAGTTAATTTACTTTGCGTGTCCATAAAATATACAAGTAAGGTAATTAAACAAGGTGATAAAATGCAGCCACAACAGAAGAACACAGGAAAAACACAATTTGTGCAGCAGAGATAAATAACAGAAAAAAGGAGAGCTGTAATAACTGTGGCTTCAAAACAAAAATGAAATATTGAATAAAGTCCTGATGATAAGTTGCGATTGAATTAGAAATCAAACTCTAAATTACTTTTAAAACACAACATGATGGATGAGGACAGCAAAACAACAGTTTCCATGAAAAATAAGCAGAAGAGAACATGAATAACGGGGAAAGAGTGAGTGAGTGGGAGGAAGAAGGAGGAAGAGACTGTATTTTAGATCACTTGGGGAACTTCAAGCTGTTTTGTTCAGACACTAAAAAAGGAGGGAATTTTAGCAACAACAGGAAGCTGTCTAGCCCGAGAATCAAATAAACAGGAGGTAACGGGAGAGAACAGGAGATCAGGAAACTTCCAGCAGACCTAATTCAAAGATGAGCACGCGAACAGTTGAAGTGATGCAACTCTGAAGGTGAATTTCCCAGTGTTTTTGTTTAGTTTAACTCTTAATGATATCCAAAGCCTGATATCTCTACCTTTTACTTCTACATACTGTTGCACTGGGTGACATGATCCTTCATTACCGTAAACACACAGACTCTGTGGTTTATTTTGACTCAATCGTCCTACGTGGACAACGCATTGACAGTAATGCAGGTGAGAATACTGCAGGTGAGCAGAGATTTAGGGTATCTGAAAAAGCAGGGTTTCTGTGAGGTCTAACTTTATGTGTGACATTCTTGGGAAAGAGGGACGGATTAGGAAAGAGATTACCTGGAATGTAGTCAGATAGAAAGGGAGAAATGGACTCAAAGTAGGGGATGAGAGTGACGGAGGAGAGAGTTGGACCAGAGTGAGCAGCAGACAGGTGTCTCACAGTCACTCTTCTTGTCTCCCTGACGGTCAGCACTTCTCTGATTGACAGCTAGATTAGCATTAGCACGACTACATAACAGCGGATTAGCTTTAGTACGGCCGGTACTACACAAAAAGGGATTAGCTTTAGCACAGGCTAATGCTGCAGGCTAAGAGATTAGCACTAGCTATGCCATGGCTCCAAGCTACATGAGAAAAAAGATTAGCTATACTCTGACTCCAAACTAAACAACAGTACATGATCAGCAGGGGATTTAACATGTATAGGATGCAAGGTAGTGATGAGAGATTATCAGGGCTTTAACTTGAAAGCATTCAAAAGCCAGTGCTATTCATAACTAGTGAGATTAAAATAGCGCTCATAACAGAAACAACATTAAAACAGAAGATTTAGTGTCCAACAGGCTAGACTGAACTGGCTGCAGGACTCTTTTGTTCCTCAGTCTGTCAAACTGAAATCAGTTGTTTTTTCTGTCTTTGTAAATCAGATCAGGTGTTCCAGATGCGATCCGTCAATCCAGCAGCAATTTGGTCAAAGCACATTGACTCTGAAACGGGGCTGATGTTGCTCAGGAGGTAGAGCAGGTTGTCCAATGATCAGCGGTTCGATCCCTGACTCCTCCAGTCTGCATGCGGACAAGATACTGAACCCCAAGCTGCTCCCTCACTTGCTGTGAGTGTGAGTGAGTGATCTTAGTTTCTGTCAGCATCTTGCATGGCAGCCTCTGTGTGAATGTGTGTGAATAGGGCGAATGTGACATGTGGAGTAAAGCACTTTGAGTGGTCGAAAGACTAACAAGGCGCTCCAGTCCATTAGTAAACCACTGTCTGTAAAACTAGACAACAACTCTGTGATGTTTCGATATACTGTATCTCTACAGGGAAACATTTTAACAGAGCAGCTTGAAACTTCACGAAACGAAAGAATAATACCTGCCAACATTAACTGTCTGGGCTGCTGTGCTGTTCAGATAATATATATATATATATCATTTCAATCGCTGGAGTGAGTTCAGCAAAAATCCTTCCTGACTCTGTTATGCAAGCAGCTGTCAAGTGTCACTTGTAATTATAGAGGAGCTGACACTCCTGCGATAAACATGGTTTGAGGAATGAACAGTTACAGTATGTCCTGCTGTGACACTACTGGCACAGAGGGCAGAGAACAAAGGGAATGAAACTGGTGCCTCTGGGTTTGGGTTTTATATCAGGGAGAGAGAGGGAAAGTTATAATCATGAAGGTGTTTCCTGCTTCGATTCTGTGTCTGCTACAGTTCAAGGAAAATCAAAACTGGGGCACAATGCATAAATCTGCAGTTTTCCCATTACGTGAAATATATAGTACTGACACAGTATAGTTTGGGATTTATCCATCTAAAAAAGTCCGTAGTTGAAAGAAACAAACACAGCAAAGTTTCTCTTATTTTGCATGTTATCTTGATATCCTCTCCTGAGCACATTCAGTGCTTTTCTGTGGAGGAATTAAAGATTCAGGTGTAGGTCTCTCAGTCCGTCATTCAAAGGAGCTATAGACGGGTTTCTGCACAACGGCATCACCAAGATGCACATGCAACTAGGTGGCAGAAAGCAGCACATCAGTTTATACGGCATATCTAGCTGCAGTGTAGGGCAAATTACTCAGAAATTGTAATGACTTAATTTTTTACTTATTACTCATTTAAAAAGTAATAATATTACTTTACTTATTACTGGGTATTAAAAGTAAATAGTCACGTTACTCGTTACGTTGCAATTACTTTGAACCAACGCACCCCATCCTTAAAAGTGACGGGAAACCTGTTCAACTTTCAGTTTTAGAAATTAATCCACTTTACTGGAACAATAATTAACCTGAGGAGGCAACAAGCAGCCGAACTGAAAACCTCTCAGACCACAGGATGCTGGATCATATAGGCTATTTTAAATTATAAAAAACAAAGCAGGTCCCTCCCAACATTTTAACTGATTGCGTATTCAGTATCAGTTCAATGAGTATGATTTTTACAGTACATAACATTTCTTAATGTCACTGGCTGAAATAGAAAAAAACACAGCTAGTCTCTCCCGACACAGAAGTTGGAAGCAGGAGTGTAGAAACTATATTATACTATACTATAAATGAGTGAGTGATAGACGCTACAGCTGTTGTATCAGTACCGTGACCACAGCTGACTCCACGCTGTGTTCGGTCGGAGTGTAGCCTAAACATCCAAACTGTTTCGCTTACAGTCTGTATGA